TAACTTAGTGGAAGAGCTAACACTATAAAATATTCTACAAGAAAACATAGGAAGGATACAAGACTAAGGCAAGGAGTTCTTAGATATGGCTGTAAACACATTATCCATAAAAGAATATATTCTGATAAACTGGACTTCATCAAAATCAAAACATGTGCTTCAAAAGGTTCCATAAAGAAGATGAAAAGTCTACAGCCGGCGAAAGAAATACTTGTACATCATTGAAAGGACTTTTATCCGAAAAAGGACTTTTATCTATTTTATCTAGAATTTCTAAGGAACTTTCACAATTCAATAAGGAGACACATAACATAACTTAAAAAAAAATAAAATAAAGGTGGTAAAATAGACACTTCTCCAAAGAAGACATATGACTAATTAATAACTTCATAAAAAGGTTCTCAAGGTCATCCATTAGTCCTTAGGGCAAATGAAAACCACAAGGAAAGAGCACTTCAGACCTGCTAGAATAACCATAATCAAAAAGCCCCTGCCAGGTATGGAAGAGTACATGGAAAAACAAATCCTTACACACTGCTAAAGGGAACGTGACATGGTACAGCACTTTGGAGAACACTTTAGCAATCACTTGAAAAGTTCAACAGAAACTCGTCCTAAGATTCAAATCAAAACCACATTGAGATACCACCTTACACCAGTTAGAATGGCCAAAATTAACAAGACAGTAAACAACAAGTGTTGGAGAGGATTTGGAGAAAGGGGAACCCTCTTACACTGTTGGTAGGAATGCAAGTTGGTGCAGCCACTTTGGAAAACAGGGTGGAGATTCCTTAAGAAATGAAAAATAGAGCTTCCCTATGACCCTGAAATTGCACTACTGGGTATTTACCCCAAAGATAAACAGATGTAATGAAAAGAAGGGCCATCTGTACCCCAATGTTTAGAGCAGCAATGGCCACGGTCGCCAAACTGTGGAAAGAACTAAGATGCCCTTCAACAGACGAATGGATAAAGAAGATATGGTCCATATATACAATGGAGTATTATGCCTCCATCAAAAGGATGAATACCCAACTTCTGTATCAACCTAGATGGGACTGGAGGAGATTATGCTGAGAGAAGTCAAGCAGAAAGAATCAATTATCATATGGTTTTGCTTATTTGTGGAGCATAAGGAATATCAGGGAGAACATGGGAAGATGGAGAGGAGAAGGGAGTTGGAGGAAATTGGAGGGGGAGACGAACCATGAGAGACTATGGACTCTGAGGAACTAACTGAGAGTTCTGGAGGGGAGGAGGTTAGGAATTTGGGTGAGCCTGGTGGTGGGTATTGTGGGGAGGGCATGTATTGCATGGAGCACTGGGTGTGGTGCATAAACAATGAATTCTAGAACACTGAAAAGAAATTTAAAAAATAAATAAAAATTAAAAAAAAAAAAAAAAGGAAAAGAAACTCGCCCTAACACCCAGTGAGTCCTCTCCTAGGAATCTAAGAAAAATAAAAGCAAATGTCCCCAAAAAGACATGCACATAAAAGTTCGTAGCAGGATCAGTCATGATAGCAAACATAGCCAACAATTCCAATGTCTAACTACAGATAAAGAAAAGACTGTATGTACCTAAAATGGAATAGTATCAAGTCACATAAAGGAATGAACTACTTATACATGCCACACCATGAATGGCTGTCAAGAACATTATACTAAGTAAAAGAAGCCGCATGCAAAAATTACATATTCTATGATATTGATATTAATTGTCCAAAAAGGGCATATTTTCAAGACAGAAAGTAGATCAGCAATTTATCTAGGACTGGAAGTAGGAGGGAGGGTTAGTTAAAAAATAATTTTGGATGATAAAAGTGCTCTAAAATTATACTGTGATATTGGCTTAAAAGTATAAATTTACTAAAAATCATGCAATTGCATATTTATAATGGATCAATTTTATGTTTTCCAAATTATAACTCATTAAAGCTACTCTTTTTTGGGGGGGGCACCTGGGTGGCTCAGTGGGTTAAAGCCGCTGCCTTCGGCTCAGGTCATGATCTCAGGGTCCTGGGATCAAGCCCCGCATTGGGCTCTCTGCTTAGCGGGGAGCCTGCTTCCCTCTCTCTCTCTCTCTGCCTGCCTCTATGCCTACTTGTGATCTCTACCTGTCAAATAAATAAATAAAATCTTTTTAAAAAAAAAAAGCTACTCTTTTTTTTTAATCAAGGTTAGACGGTATCTTCAGCGGTGATGTTTTAATACACTTCAAACTTTTTAATAAAAAGTAGAAAAACTATGTTTCAAATCTGTTGATTACACATCGAGTGACTATAGAATTGATCATCTAAACGAGAACATTTCCAATAGATCAAAGGAGTTCTAATAATAACTACATGGAACCACAGGAGTCAGCCAAGACTGTCCAGGGCAAACCAGCATGTATGCCTGGTTGCTATAAGAAAGTGTAAAATTATAATTACAGTGTCTTTCTCTAGATTTGCTTACCACAGATTGTATTATGCAACTGAACTATTCTTCAAATTAAGTCTTTTGATGATTTACGAGGTGGCTAACTTTTTCTCAGCATCACAACTGGTTCACTTTTTTTCAGCTGTCTGACTCCACATAACACCTTCAGCCCAACTGTCTGACAGAGGATTGTGGTTCCTTGCTCCTTCCACTGAATACACAGGGAAGCAGGACACAGACTAACACGCAAACCGGCAAACACACCGCAGTTATAACCCTTCAAAGTACATCTAACAAAAGGTGCTAATTTTCCAAATCTCTATGATAATAAAACTGAACCCATCCCTTTACAAGGAAAAGTGCTAACATTTTAATTTTTGGTGACTTTGATTTCTTTCTCTTCTCATCCATTCCTTCCACAGCTATCCATCTACTCTGTGCGTTGCCTCACTAGGTGCTAGAGAAAGAAAGTCAGGAGAAGGCCAGCAGTCCCCAGACACCCTCTCCTCCACCAGGGGCCCATCAGCGCTGGATCCGTCCCAGAGCAGCAGGAGCCCAGATGTCCTGTTTCATTTGTAGCCACTGGCCAAAAAAGCCCACAGTGCTTTAGAGTCGAATCTTATGTTCTAGGAACCTTATTCCAATAATAGTTTTAATTTTAATAATTTCCTAACTTGATGGTCAGACAATGAAAATATAATACAGTAAAGTCAGTCACTCTGAACACTCCTTCTCTGCCTGCTACTCACCTGCATTTTGTCTTGAACAAAGCACAACACCCTGACAACTGTTTGTTCTAGCTCAGCAACTTGATCCAACGAAATGGTAATGCTGCCAAACACCACTAGGTGGGGGTAAAAGTCAGAGGCAGGAAGACAACCATAGATTCAGAACTAGAAAGCTTGATGAAGAATGTTTAAGTGGTATTCCTCCTGTTACTATTCTGGTCCTCTGAACTTCTAACTAAGTAAATACATTACTACTAAGAACTTTATTTACTCTTACTTTATTACTCTTAGAAAACGAAAATTTATATGAAAGCATGAACAACAATGTAAACTTCCTTTTTTCAAAAGGAGTCCTATGACAAAAAAAAAAAAAAAAAACCTCAAGGAAATAATTCTCTTATGAGGTAAGCAGAAGTTTAACACTTATTTCAGTTACTGTTGGCTGAAAAAGAGATCTTCTGCTAGCTCATATCTGTATCTTATCTAACTCTGTGCTTTGATGGTTTAATCTGCTTTTAGATCCAATAGCAAGAGTCCAGAATATCAAGTCACTTAGGGTTCCCCTGACTCACTGTCCCATTGCCATCCCTCTGATCTTTGAGTCTTTCTGCCTGGAATCTGCTTTACTATCGTGTGTGTGTTTCATTACTTACTTAGGGTCAATGCTGGGAATAACATAACGCAGTCCCTAACTCAGGTTTCTAGCCCAGTGGTGGAAACAGGCCAGGTCAGTGCTGAGGGCAGTGCGGCCCGCACATGACAACGTTGGGGAGAGTTCCTAAGGAAGTGCAGAGAACACCTCCCAGCAGCCAGAGGGTGGGGTTGGGTGGGAGAAGGCTTCTCTCCTGGCAGTGCGGAGTAGGACTGCAGAGCAACAGTGTGAATGAAGCGCGCTGCCGAATGGCCTGAAGGTTTAGGCTCACAAGGTCTTCAGCAAAGTTCAGAAGAGAACACAAGGAGATGCTACGGGGAGGTGGACAACTGTACGTGAGGTCAAATGGTGCTTGCTGCCAGACCAAGGACCCATCACTTCCTTTATCCTTTCTGCCACTGAAGGATTTTGAACAGGAGAAGATGGGATCAATGTTACATTTCCATAAATACTGAGAGCCACCACATGGATTAGCTGTGAGCGTGGACTCCAGCACTGAGCCGGGGTTCAAATGTGAGCTTCCCTTCTCACTCTTTATATGGCCTTGCACAATTACTCCCTTCCCTGTGCCTCAATCTGCTCATCTCTGAAATAGGCTCCTAGAATGGACTGAGGAAGTCGTGGAACAATGCAGTGTTCTATGTCCCATGGCGCTCTGGTGGGGCGGGGAGAGGCTGACTGAGGCAGGGAGACAGGAGCTGGTGCAGGAACCACAGCAGGAAGAGCTGAATGGAAGGTGGGGGAGACAGGACGTGGTACAAAGCAGGAGACACAGGAGGCAGGAACACAGAGGATGGAAATGGCAGGTGACAAATGGGATGGAGGCCTGAGAAAGGGCAGCTCCCCAGGGAGGCTCTGGTCTCTGTCATGGGCAACCTGGAAGACACTGCTCCCTCCTTACACAGGGGGTCCTGGAGGATGGTCAGGTGAGGGGATGACAGGGAGTAGGAGAGCATCAAGACCCCTTCCCCTGCTCTGTCTTCTGAGATGCAGATTGCACGTCACAGGATCTGTGGCCCTCGGTTACATTTATTTTATACTCTGGGTCTCACCACAGGTCCCACAGCAAGGCCATGTCTCAATGCCTGCTGTGTTCAAGTCTGCTCAGGTTCTAAGAGTAGACGGGGGGAAAGGAAAAGGAGGGAAGGCCAAGCTATTGAGTGATGGATGAAAATACAAATGATAATCACATTATTTTACCTGCTTCAGATTCAGGAGGAGAATAAAACTGACCATCGGAAAGACCACCAGGTATAAGCGCTGCTCTCTCTGAAGCATCCTGAACTATCAGGAGTCCTGGAGGAGAAGAAAGTTGCTGGGATGATGGCACAATTCTGGGAGCTTCTTGGCAAGGTTAACCAAAATAAAATGCTGTTATCATTACATTAAAAAGAAGTCTTAGCAAAAAGCTAAGCTCTGTTCAAATCATGACTACCAGAACCTTCCTTCTAGCCTGCTCCCTAACCACTCTCAGGAGACTAACCTGGGGAAACACTTACTGTTTTCCTCTTCTGCCTCTTGAGGTAAGACTTTGAAATCCAGGAACCACGTCTCAATCCAGGCAAGGAGAAATGAAATGATGGGCAGCACGTAGCCGAAAGCCCCTTGGGAGAAAAGCTGGAAGGACAGATGTGACGAGGAGAGGGACATGCAGTTACCGGGAGCTCACACTGGAAAACGAGGCTTCGCCATTATAGACGATAATTGTAAGAAAACGTGGGAGGCTGTACCTTTGAGAGGATCACTTTTGCGAGTAAAAAGGCACTGGTCACTGCTGTTGTCAACTGAAAGACACATAATCCAGCACCATTTGAATTAGACATTTGACGTTGGGAAGGCAGCTGCTCCCAAGACACCTGTCTGAGCAAGAAGCTTCTAATGCCTGGAAAAGCTCTGCCAGGCCTGGCTCCTGCCCACATCACTCTGTCTCCAGTTCCTGAACATGAACTGGGCCTACGTGGGCTTCTCTGTGGTGTCCCACCCCTCCCTGGCTGCTGGTGCTCTCCCTCCTCCCAGGGTCTAGCAGGCTAGTGTGTTGGCAAACTAAGTTTTTTCCCAACAAGGTGCAACAGGCAAAGGCAGTCTCCCCACAGAAGGGACCCCTGAAATGCAGAGGCGGCACTCCCCCTACTGCTACTCCCCTCTCTTTATCCAATAACTAGGATTCCCAGTAACAGGAGAGCTTCCTGGAGTGATGCCGACAGTAGTCCCACTCACAGCATGGGGGTCGGGGGACATCGAATGTGAAGCTCTGTACGTATTAACACAGCTGCAGAGTATTTGTTAGCAATTCACAGCGTGTGTACACACACACACACACACACACACACACACGCAGACACAGACACCCCAGTCAAAGTAAGCTATCTGGAAGAGGAGGCATTTTACATTCCGACACTCATTAACTTTATAGGCTGACATTTAGTACCTTTTCAGGTACTAGGTGAGTCCTCCTTCCAGCTGCCTGATCCCTCACTGCGAATGTTTTTAAAACGAAAAATCAAAAATAATCAAATGGATGTGTTAATCATGATTCATCGCTTCATAAGTTGGTTTAGATATTGAAGATACTTGGGATGCCTGGGTGGCTCAGTCAGTTAAGTGTCTGCCTTCGGGATCAAGGGTCCTGGGATCAAGCCCCGCGTCGGGCTCCCTGCTCAGTGGGGAGTCTGCTTCTCCCTCTCACTCTGCCTGCTGCTCCTCCTACTGTGTGTTCTCTCTCTCTTCCTCTCTGATAAATAAAATCTTCAAAAAAATTTAAAAAATTTAAAATAGATATTGAACATATTTCCTAAAAAGTTCAGACTTTCACTGAAAGTTACTCTCTTCTCTGAACCAAATACTGAGACTGACAGTCTGACAAACACTAGTGTACATTAAGGAGATCTGGAGTAAAACGTCTTAAATGGGACGGCTGTAGAAAACTGGGAACGGACAATCACAGCAGTTTGTTATCAGCAAAAATGTATTCAGGAACGGGAATCAAGTCTGCCTGACACATTAGCATGGGGCTCAGCTGATGGTCTGATGTCAGTCCTATGATATTGTGGGTGCTCAGGAGAGACGCCCCAGGCCAGTGCAGCTCCTGGTGGACTATGTCTTAGAAGGGAGTCTGTCCCTCTTAGAAGGGAGTCTGTCCCCAGCTGGGCAAGCCATGCGGGCCCCCACACACACCCCAAGGCCTCACTCCAGGTGCAGGACTACAGGCACTCCTAAGCAGGTCTCTCCAGCTAGGGGAGTTCAGCATTCCTCCCCATACACCTGCCTTATGTGCTCCAAAGGGTGAGTATTCAGACATCTGTGAAAATGGCAAAAATAATTGAGGCAGAATGGCTTATAATTCTTCTTTTAACCAGTTAATATTTACTGACAGTGAAGAGCAGGTGCCAAGCTCCGTGCCAGATGCAAGAAACAGAGACGAGCAAAAACACCACTGCCTTCGGGGCTTCTGGGTAGCTCAGTCAGTTAAGTGTCGGACCCTTGGTTTCAGCTCAGGTCCTGATCTCAGGGTTGAGAGATCAAGACCCGCATCCAGCTCAGCGCTCAACTGGGAATCTGCTTCAGGTTCTCCCTCTCCCTCTCCCCACTCCCTGCATTCTCTCTCTGTCTCTAAAATAAATATATCTTTAAAAATGCCACTGCCCGGGCACCTGGGTGGCTCAGTGGATTGAGCCTCTGCTTTCAGCTCAGGTCATGGTCTCAGGGTCCTGGGATCGAGCCCCACATCGGGCTCTCTGCTCAGCAGGGAGCCTGCTTCTCCTTCTCCCTCTGCCTGCCTCTCTGCCTACTTGTGATGTCTCTCTCTGTCAAAAAAATAAATAAAATATTAAAAAAAAATTAAAATATCACTGCCTTCAAGAAGCCTGAAGGCAACAATAAAAAGGAGCATGGAACTTTTCCCTTTAATATTGAAGGGAGGGGATAAAATAGCAAGAAAGCCAATTATCAAAATAAGCAGAGAGCAAGTCATGAAAAATTACCAAGCAGTTTGAACCAAAGGGGAAATTTTCTAAGTATCTTTGTGCACCAGTGCTGATTTCACCACTCATTTGCAAAATGAGGTAGAGGGTGTGCTGGTGCTTGGCCAAGAATCACTGCTGGGGCTCTATGTTCCTCATCCGGCTCAGTGTCCACCAAGACGAAGCTAGTTACTCATCACCACTGGAAAGAAGCCCCAGCGCATTGAACCTCCTGAAGGGTGGAGGCAGGGGACTCAGGAAAAGCTAGCAGAGTTCAACCCAGAGGAAAAGCGCATTTTCTCCCAGCCTATCCCTGTTGTGAGCAGGCCTGGCCACCATCATTGGACGGGTGAACCAGCCACAAAGACATACTCACCGCTATGGCCCACCAGTGGCGCAGTCTGCATACAGCATATGCAAGTATTAACACTTTAAATCGAAAAACTGCCAAGAGCTACATTAAAAAAAAAAAGAAGAAAAGAAAAAAAAAAAGACAAGGTAAGTTTTAAAAAAGAGATATAAATATCAAATAACTGAGTTTTATGAAGAACTCACCAGAGCGTCTTTACTATTCTAATTTAACTGAAGATGGGCACTGGGTTGTAGACCCGTATTTGGATCTCTGCTTGAGAATCTATGCAGTACTGCCCAAATGAGAATTCAAATTCATGTCCCGTTAGCAACACAAGAATATATAATTACATGTTTTATTTTTCCTTTCTGTTTGAGTGCACATATATTTCTGATATCCTTTTAAGACTGGAGAAAATGTTCTGAAAGTTGACTTTTCCACTCCTGGTATAAACACCTTTGGAAGATACCACGTTCTTAGCAAAGTCCGCTGTAAAGCTCTAGGTTATGGGGGTATTGGGACAGTTCTATCCAAGTAGCTACCACCTGGTTATTCAGGGTGGCTCTGGGACTTTTGTGAAACCCTTTATGTGTATTATTATCCCATGTAATCCCTTCCTTAACAACCCCATGCATCAGTTACTATCTTAATCCCATTATACACATAAGGTGGTAGAAAAATTGTACAAGGTCACACAACTCCTTAGAGGGGAAGCCGGGACTTGAACCCCAGCGGCCAGACTCTACTGAGCCACTACATCACAGCTGTCTTCATAATTCTCATCATGTAAGAAATACACATAGAATAAGATTTTACCCATTTTCCCTTTGGAAGACATGCCTACTGTGAGCAGGGAGAAGTCAGGTGACTCTTGAGTAGTGCCTGAGGGCAGGGGTCTGCCAAAAGTTCCTCACTAATCAATTCTGCTGAAAGGCTGGAGGCTGATAGTCTTTTCGAGGCCACTGACCAGAGAACTACACTACAATTCTTTTACGTAAATGAAGGTCACAAGTTACGTTTTGTTTTTAATTTGCTATTTTCATTAAAAATGTGTTTTCCAACAGTCTGCAAACTGTTTAGCCTCTCTATTCATTCCAGCTCTATCCCTGCTTTCTGGGTTTGGCAAAAAGGGAAGTCTTCATCAGCCCTCTATCTCAAAGTCTCCCAGGCCCCAAGGTTTCCTGGAGGCTGTGTCCATTTCCCGGGCCAGACATGCCAGTCCTTCCAGTCGAAACTAATGGGCCCTGCCTATTTGGCCATTACCACTGACTTCTCAAGCATAAAGGACAGACAACCCTCAGAGATCTGGCTGGTGGATTAGCCTGGTTTCCTGGCTGAGGCTATTTTAAGATAAATTCAGCAAGAGAAAGAAGAGAAAAAAGAGAAATCAATCTTGCTATTATATGTCAATAGTTTTAGGAGAAAGAAATGGGATCTAACATGCTCTGCCCCCAACTTCAATGACCTGGGGTGGGTCGAGACACTGAACCAAAGAAAATTTCCTCATCTGGAAAAATGAGGGGATTAAATTATATTAGTGTTCTCTAAATATTCTGTAGCAACCAAACACCCTTCAACACAATCTTATTGGAAACAGACCATACAGATTAAAACAAAACTACTTGGGTTACACAAGGCTGATGAAAGGGAACCCTAACCTCTACTTATTAGGAGTCCTACCTCCTTCTCCATACACATTTCTGCAGGTCCCTTCAGAAATAAAACAACAAAAAAAGCCTTTCTAGTGTAGTTTGAAAACTACCAAAAATATAATTACTCAATTATTGAAATTCTCAACCAAAAATAATGATGATGGTGGTGATTGAGGATGGTTCTCTGAGCTCATTGCTCATTGGGAAAATGTTTTCCATGCATTATTTCATTTATTTTTCAGAACTAGGATGATCACATTTTACATACAAAAAGAAAACATACACACATACATATGAAAAACCTGAAGTTTAGACCCAATATATTAAAAGACATACAAATAGTGATAGTGCTGTGAATCAAACCCAGGTTTTTCTGACTTTAAGTGTCCTGCTCTTCCTAACCATTATGCATAACGATTCTAAAAGTAATAAAACAAGTAGGTAAAATGAATTTGGAAGAATTCACTGTGAATATTGCCCACACTGCATCTAACACAACGTTAGGATCTGATTTACTTACACCATCAACTATAAAGAAATACCAGGGAGGTGTACCAAGCCCAGTGAGAGTCAATGTGTCCTAGAAAGACTGTAAGCATTCCTTTGAAATGAAGGCCTCATCGACAGAGAATTGAATCTTTGCAATTCTACAACTGGCTGGTGTTGCCCAGGATTACCAACAGCTCACTTTCCTCAAGAACTCCAATTACAGAAAAATGTAACATAGTATCATTATTATCAAAAGTACACTCACAAATCTATCTCAAGGCAGAAAAGGAATGGCATTTTCTTCGTGTTATTATATAAAATGGGGAGTTTTCCTGTTAGTGATTAGGGTATGTCGCTGGCTTCTATGAAAAGAATGAAGGCTCTCCTCCAAGAAAAGCAGAATGGCTCCTTCTGCTGCCTTTTCTTATCTCTCATTAATCATGTCCTTCTTTCCCGTGACCAGACAATTCCTTATAAAGAGAGAGCAAGTGCAGTGACTGGGCCAGAAACTGAGGGGAAAGGAAGGCCAGTGTTCCAGTGAGGGAAAGAGAATGGCATAGAAATTAGAGGAAATTTGCCTGGGGGTTACAGATGAATCATATCTGAAATGAAAAGTAAAACAGGAAATACTTACAAATATATCAAAATAAGAGGAGTAGTAGTCATACTGCACCACCTCCTTCTCTAATGTGTTCTCAATGCCTCCATTCACCTGGGAAGCAGAGTGAGAAGTAAAAATGAGATTCATGTGGGAAAACAATACAAGAAAACATACAAGTAAGGTATTGTAAGCACTCTTCTGCCTACCTTCTCAGAACCCTGGAATGTTGAAATAGGAGGAACAAAACACTCCTAACAGACAGAAAAATGCCAGAAGAGCATTCCCATTTCAATTCTTCATTCATTCATTCGACAAATGCATATGCCTAATGAGAAACCATGCCTTGTTGGTCATTCCTACTTTGGCAAACTAAAAATGTTAAAAAAATGATCCTTTTTCTAGGATCTTAGATAAACTTAGATAAACTTAGACTTCTAAGATAAAGTCTTCAATCAAACCAATGTATAATTTTAAGGAAGACAATTCACATTCATCCAGTTCTGCCCTCTCTGACCACACTCCACTGTTTCAGCTCCTGGAAGGCCAACAGCTCCTCTGATCTTAGCAAAGGTCAATGACACAAGATAGAAGTATAGATGTTCTCCCTGGCATTTGAGAATCCTGCACTGTCATCAACTTTCATATAGATATTTAATTTGATAGATAATGAAATGAGGGACAGACTAGACTATAATCATATGTTTAGAAGTTACAGTTAAATGATGAAAATCAGACCTAAGATGACAAACTTTCTGTCCTCTCCCAATTCTCCTATCAAGATGACTTTTAAGTGAGCAAGTTCAGAACTCTACATATTACACCTACAGAAAACATTTTTTTTTTTTAAATCAAGTAATGGAATGTGTGTCTGACAGCTAAGGCAGCACCCAAGCAGACACTAGAATTGTTAGGGCCCATGGATTAGGAAACATGACGTAAATTCCCATTTCCAGTCTGGAGTACAGACATTGTTTGTCCTGGCAAACTGATGGACACGATCTGAAAAAGGACAAAGTGAAGGGCGGTGGACCCAAGACCTGGATAAAGGGGGAGAAAATTAATAGGGAACATCTTTGCAAGGTTTGCTAACTGGTCAAACTGGAGTTAAAGTTCCAACAAAGAAAAAGGATCCTCTTGGCTTGGAAAATTTTAAAAGTATTTGCATTTGTTATTCAAATGAAAGTATGCCATAAACACCATTGGGTACTTTAAAATTCCCTTAAGGAGGTTTAGATTTCTGCATAATTTCTGCAGTTGCCTACTGACCTGGTTGAACACAGATCTTTATAAGAAAATAGAATGGAAAACTTGGGAGCAAAGAGAAAACCAATGTAGTCTTCTCACTGTGTCTCTCCAGATTAAGAAAACTTAGCACTATCTAAAATATTTAAAAAATGATTATTCCAGGGCACCTGGGTGGCTCAGTTGGTTGGGCGGCTGCCTTCAGCTCAGGTCATGATCCCGGAGTCCTAGGATTTGGTTCTGCATCGGGCTCCCAGCTCCATGGGGAGTCTGCTTCTCCTGCTGACCTCCCCTCTCATGCTCTCTCTCTCACTGTCTCTCTCAAATAAATAAATAAAATCTTTAAAAAAATTATTCCAAATGATTTATAGCAAAGAGGGGTTCTCTAAGGCACAGAGACTACCCTCCTAGCTGAGAGAACAGCAATGAACCTGCTGATACAGTCTTTAATAAACAGCCAGTAGAAAAAGGGTTTCTATGACATCTGTACTTTAAAAGACCCTGACTGGGGGAAGGGGTCACCTGGGGGCTCAGTCAGTTAAGCAACCAACTCTTGGTTTCAGCTCCCTACATCGGGCTCCACCCCCAGCATGGAGTCTGCTTGGGATTCTCCCTCTCACTCTGCCCCTTCCCCCACTTGTGCTCTCCCACTCTTTCCCTCTATAAAATAAATAAATCTTTAAAAAATAATAATAAAAGACTCTGATTTTGTGTTACCTTTAAATAGAGAAATCTAAAATCTACATCTCTAGCTCCAACTTGTACTCTAAATTCCTTATTTCAAAATCTTTGTCTCAAAATGTGCCCCATAGACTCATCTTATTTTCATATGGAACCTCTCCTCACAGTTCTGACAGAGCCCGCCCATTCTTCTACCTTCCATCATTAGAAATCTTAAGAGTCATTTCTGGACACGAGGGATAATAAAATCAGCATATCCGTAAGTCTATCAGCATACTTATTTTTTATGAGTATGTCTCTCAAATCAGTTTTTTTCCTTTCTATTCCTACTACCTTACATGGGATTCCTTTCATAGCTTCAGAGCCAATCTGTCCCTAACGTAATCCAACTGGTAAACCACTGCCACAAGACCTTTATCAATTCATTTGTTTGTTGTTCTTTATTTGTTGAACACTTATTGTCAAGTATGATCCTAAATACAATAAATTCTTTAGTAAACAAAACCGTATCTCTGTCTTTCTGGAACTTACATTCTAGCAAGGAGAGATGACAAACAAGAAAATAAGTGCTCTACAGAGAACAAAGCAGGAGAGCGGGACAGACAGAATGAGTAACGGTTGACTGCTCTGGGACCGGTGGTAAATGGAAGCCTTCCCTGTGGTGATATTTAAACTGACAGACACCAGCAAGATAAGTAGTCAGACTCTGCATCAAGATAAAAGAAATGAACCATTTCGTGTAGAAGGAACAACTCATATGAAGGTCCAAGACTGAAGGCAGCTTGTTCCATTGTGAGACCAGGAGGCAAGTCTGGGATGATCTGGGTGGGCTGGGAACAGAGAGTGGGGAAGGAAGTCTGGACAGGCTTCTTGGAGCTATACAAGCCAAGTTAGGCAATTTTTATTCAAAGTGCCCTGCTAGGGCTGTGAAGGGTTATAAAAAGAAAGTAGAACTACCTGATTTGTTTTTACTTTTAAAAGTCCCTCTAGAGGGCACCAGGGTTGCTCATTCATTACGTGTCTGCCTTTGGCTCAGGTCATGATCCCAGGGTCCTAGGATCAAGCCAGACATAGGGATCCCTGCTCAGTGGGAAGCCTACTTCTCCCTCTCCCACTCCCCCTGCTTGTGTTCCCTCTCTTGCTGTGTGTCTCTCTCTGTTAAATAAATAAATAAAATCTTTAAAATGAAGAAATAAAGAAATATTCCTCTGGCTTCTGTGAGGAGAATGGGTACTAGGAGGGCAAGGGTGGAAGCAGGCAAACCAGTTGGGCCTCTGGTACAGTAGCTTGGAGGAGCAATAGCACCGGCTGGGTTGAGGGGGCAACTGTAGAAATGGAGAGGCGAGGTCACATTTTGGATACATTTAGCAGACAGATCTGACAGGGCTTACTTTTCAACTGGATATGGAGTGTGAGAAATACAAAACAAACACCCAAATTAATCAAGGATGCGTCTTCATTTTTGGCCTCGGCATCTTGTTTCCTTGAAGCAAGGAGGAAAATCAGCTAATGTGGAAGTCACATATGAAGACAAAATATTTTGGTTACGGTTATAATTGCATAGTACAGCTGGGTTCCATTGCTCTTCTGAAGACCTAAACAACGTTTGTGCGATTTCTTTTCTCTTTTCAAGACCAATGCCACAAGTCAGTATATGCGTTCTATCTCCTCAGCTAAACTTCAACTCTCATATGATTTTTCTGTGGAACTTGCCATACCTGAATCTGAAGCCTATGCCCTGGGACTCAGTAAATGTATAGATATGAAAAAAGAACAATGTATTTGAGTGATTAGAGATTTACAGACAGACCACAAAAGTAAAGGGAGGGTATGTAGTGAAAAACCCAGGTCAGGACTGACAACTAAAACAGAACTAGAAATTGAATGTTTAAAAAAAATTTAAAAATAAAAAAATAAAAGCTTGCTAAGACAAGATGTGCTATCCTAAAGATCATATATTCTTTTTTTTTTTAAGATTTTATTTGACAGAGAGAGAGATCACAAGGAGGCGGGGTAGGGGGGAAAGGAGGCTCCCCCTTGAGCAGAGAGCCCAACATGGGGCGTGATCCCAGGACCCTGAGATCATTACCTGAGCCGAAGGCAGAGTCTTAACCCACTGAGCCACCCAGGCACCCTAAGATCAAACAGTCTTGTATGATCTTTTTATTTTACAACTGGGGCAATTTGAAAAGATATATATGTTCCTGTGTTTACTGCAGCATTGTACAATAGCCAAGATATGGATATGTCTATCAGCAGATGAATGGATATGTTATATATACACACACACACGCGCACGCACAGAGTATTAGCCATAAAAAAGAATGTGATCCTGCCATCTGCAACAATATGGATGAACCTAGAGGTTATTATATGCTAAGTGAAATTAAGTCACTCCGAGAAAGACAAATACTAAGTGATCTCACTCATATGTGAAATTTAAGAAATAAGACAAATGAACAAACCAAAAAAGAGACAAACAGGGGTGCCTGGATGGCTTAGTCATTAAGCCTTTGCCTTCAGCTCAGGTCATGATCCCAGAGTCCTGGGATCGAGCCCCACATTGGGCTCCCTGCTCCACAGGAGGCCTGCTTCTCTGTCTCCCACTCCCCCTGCTTGTGCTCCTTCTTTCTCTATGTCTCTCTCTTTCAAATAAATAAATAAAATCTTCAAAAAGTAAAAAGAGACAACCAAAAAGCAGACTCTTAAATACAGAGAACAAACTGATGGTTGCCAGAGGAGAAGTTGGGTAGGGTGATGAGTGAAACAGATAGAGGGGATTAAGAGGTATAAACTTCCAGTGACAAGTAAGTAAATCACAGAGATAAAAAGTACAGCACAGGAAATACAGTCAGCAAGATAGCAGTAAGGTTCCTTGGAGACAGATGATGACCACACTGATTACAGGCCCTGAGTAATGCAGAGAAATGTTGACTCATGTTGTATACCTGAAACTGTGATAACACTGTTCATTATATTTCAATAAAAAATTTAACAGAAATTTTTATTTCTTAATTACTAGGTCTGGTGATTTTTCATTTATAACATGTTGCACACAGATGAACACTGACCCCCTCTGATGTACAGAACAGTGTGCAGTCCACTTCACTTCCATTTCAATTTCGTTGAAGCAGTAAGAAAGGGGGGAAGTGAGAGTGTGATCCATGAACCCCACCACAGTTCTACCCCCATGATTTGCATCACTTAAAAGCAGGGAGGGATATTAGTGGTAAATCAATAAATACTTTGATTTTGTGCTGTTATTAAAATAACTTTTACGTGAGCTCCCTGAAAACTGCTACTGTGCTTTCCTGTTAAATGATGGATTAGATTCGAAACTAGTTTTCAATTTTGGAAAACATGTTACTCCTTTGAAAAATACATTAATTTAAATATTGTCTTTAATGTATACATGTGGAACAAATAATAAAAAGAGATACTCTAAATTACTGTGTCCTATCACTGGCTTGTTTGATTTTAAACAATTCTTCCCTGTGAGGGAAGCATTCTGGAAGAGTTACCTATTTGTTGGTAAGGAATGTAAACAGAGCCAAGGCTTTGGGGGGAAACAGACATATTGGGTTAAATAAAATATATTATTAAAATGTATTTTATCTGTTTATTTTTACATTTATTAATATAGCAACTAGAGAACTTAATCATCTATGAGGCTTACATTATATTGCCATTGGACAGTACTTACTGGTCTAGATAATTTTATTTGGCAATGTAACTGCAAAGACTTGAGGAGAAGGGGACAAACCTCCGAATTGTTCTAGAACATTTTTCAATAAAATATTAATAATATCTTTGTGAAAAAATAAAGATTAATGTATGGAAAATCTTAAACATGGGGATTAGAAAAGTAGATGTAACTTCTAAAATATATTCCAGAGGCAAGAAAAGGGCCAGGAAATAAATACTTTTGCCTTTGTGGCCCAATATTCAACTCAACCACTTAGCACAAAAGCCAGCCATAAACAATAGGCAAACAGTAAGGACAGGGCTGTGTTCCAATAAAACTTTATAAAAACAGGCCAGCTATGGGGCGCCGGGGTGGCTCAGTGGGTTAAAGCCTCTACCTTCAGCTCAGGTCATGATCTCAGAGTCCTGGGATCAAGCCCCACATCGGGCTCTCTGCTCAGCAGGGAACCTGCTTCCTCCTCTTTCTCTGCCTGCCTCTCTGCCTACTTGTAATCTCTGTCAAATAAATAAATAAAATCTTTAAAAAAAAAAAAAAAAAAAAAAACAGGCCAGCTGAATTTGGGCCCCAGGCTATAGTTTGCTAACTCCTGATGTAGAGCAAAATACCGTGAATTCAACTTCCAAAGTGAGTTTTAAATGAATGAGCTCTGCTTTAAAACATGACAGTACAGAACAAGAAAAGTCAAAATCAGCTGGAAAAGAGCAATATTACTCCCTCTGGAAAAAGGACAGTATTCACTAAATAAGAAAGAAATGATGAGAGAAATAAGAAAATTGTTTCTTGTGTCTGGAAACAAATCTTATGTAGAGTCATGGGGAAAGCCACTTACATTTAACTCTATTATCCAGAGTAATGTTACAAATAAGAGGTCAAAGGTGACAAACAAACAGAAAGTCCTCCTGACATCAGATATCCCTTTCTTTTCCCTTCCTTCATAAGACTCGATCCTGGCCATGAGGTGTGTGGGGTTGATGGAATGAACATCGCGCAAAGAAGCGTGAGAGCTCTGGCTCCCTGTGAGAACGTTCTCCATGTCTTCTTGCAGGGGGTTCATCCTGGAGGAGGGTTAAAGGAGCCTTTCTCCAACTTCACCATCCCTAGAGAGAAGAGAGTTTTGTGTTAAATCAGAGCTCACCTAAGACGACCATGCCACCCCCACCACTGGGCAACTGTTTCTCTGAGAAACAGTGTCTTAACTGAAGACATTTGTTCTGATGAAGACATGAAGAGAAAGTGAAATGAGAAGCAATTCTTGATGTTATCAATATTACAAAAGAGCTTTATTTCATTCAGAAATGAATGAAATAAAGAATGCAATTTACGGAATTAAAGACAGAAGACAGGATGCCAACCACATCAAGAAGGGTCTCAGTGATAACCTGAAGGCTGGTTCCTTTGCTGGGCCCTGGAGAAAACCTTTCCAACTGTTGTCATTACTCCTGAACCAGGAATCCATTTCCTGAAAGCTCCCCAGAGAGTTCGTAACCAGAATGTGTAAACAAGACAGGAAAAATGTGTTTCCTAAAGAGGAATTGCTTTCCACCAAAGAAAGTATCTAATAAACTGACTTTAGCATTTCCTCATCACCTCATAATGAATAAGCATGTTTCCAGGTCTCTTCTTGGAAAAGAAGTATACTCACCCCTAAAGTTCAGCATTCTCCAAACACCTCTGTGCTAATTACACAAGTTACAGCTCTATCTAGAGATCCAGGAACCCCCTTCTCCAAGACCAAGATGTGCTTCTACAATACAACTAAAAGATTAGTCACCTAAGTGGTCTGATCTCTTCATGAATGATGCGAAGTCATGAAACAGTATGGTAGATGGCATTACTGTTTGCCAAACATTCCTGCTTCCCTCCTATAGTACCTCTCCCCATCGGAGATTCTATACCCCAGGCTCTACTGACCTCGTGTGCCTTTCTTTGGCCAATGGAATGCAAGTGGAAATTCATGTGCCACTCTTTTTTTTTTTTTTTAAGATCTTATTTATTTATTTGTCAGAGAGAGAGAGAGAGAGAGAGAGGAAATAAGGAGAACACAAGCAGGCAGAGTGGCAGACAGAGGCAGAGAGAGAAACAGGCTCCCCGCTGAGCAAGGAACCCAATGAGGGACTCGATCCCAGGACCCTGGGATCATGACCTGAGCCAAAGGCAGCTGCTTAACCAACTGAGCCACCCAGGCATCCCTCATGTGCCACTCTTGTCCAGATCCAGGAAGAATGCACTAGTTCTCTTTGCTTTTGCCAGTGACTGGCAATGGCCGGATAAAGAAGAGAATGTTCAAATCTATGTCATTAGAGGTTGGCTTAATGATTATCTTCGAGCAAGAGGGAGGGAATAGCAACTAGAGCTCACAAGTTTGGTCAAATTCCACTTCTTGGCCTGAGTAGTGCTACATGGCTCTGCCCACTTAGTTATAATCTACTGATGTAGGTAGTGGCTTCAGCAGTGTATTGATTTGTGAATATTCAAAATGCTGTACGCCTATGTATGTACACATATATTGTCTACATGTCTCTACATGATATCTCTACATGATAAGGAGACTTTATCATTATACGTCTATAACAGTTCCAACTAGAAAACAATCTAAATATCTAACAAGGGATTAGATAAATCATAGTACAGCCACAGTAGTGATTAAAATAAATACTTAGAAAGTATGTGTAACTTAGAAAAATGTTTGTTTTAATAGTAACTTGACTAAAATCTAAATATTAAATGAAACACAGAGTATGTTCACAACTTCATAAAAATAAAACCAAATTTTTACAAGAATGTATCTATGAAACATACCAAATCTTAGTACTGATTATCTTCGCCTGATATCAGATCCCCCGCACTTTTACTTTTTCCATATTTTCAGATTCCCTATTTTGCACATATTGTATTTACAGTAGGAAGGATTATATTAAAATGTAAAATTGTTATAGTCCTGGACAGATGTCCCAGGACTCTATAAGGCTCTTCCCTCCCTTCTCAACACATCTGGGTGACAGTAGATAACATCACCTTAGACATTTTGAAAAGCTCAATAGGAGTCCAATTCAGTGCTTTGTAAAATAAAATACAAATTTCCAAAAATTGAAAGCATTTCTATACAATTTATTTCTCAATGAGATCATTACCATTCTAGGGGAAGGAATACCAGTGGTATATTCCCCAGTACAGTTGCTCTTAAAACAAAGCTCTCAAAACACTAAATTTATCTGCCAGGCTTCTAAGAGTTAATTTTGGAACAATAAGTAAAAAGGAATGTAACTGTGTTTTCTGAGGTGAAACACACATTTCAAAGTTCAAAAAGATACCGCAGTTGATCTCTAAATTTCAACCTGGATAAATACAGACATATTTTTGTAGCCATGCATTCTACATAAGAAAAAGCAATCCAAGTAGTTTTTAAGTCAATCTAATAATCTATTAGCAAGTATATTTAAAAATTAATTTAAATTTTTGGTCTACTAAACTGTATAGACAATCCAATAAATTCACAATGGAAACTCAGGACTGTATCTAGGAAGAAATCACTTCTAAGGTAATTAGATCATTTTCTCAATCTCATCCAGTCCTCCTTCCCTGAACCCACTCCTCATGAATAAAAAATGATAACGAAGCAAAAACACCTACCCTAGAAATCTGAGGCTATTTCAAACTAAAACCTGACATCATACAATGACATACACCTGCCCTGAGAAATGAGAATCATTACACTATTTTTCAGGGGCATGCACACAACTGCTGACTAGCTAGAATTTACAGATACTTGCATACCTTCAACAATAGTTACCCAAAGCAGACTGTTGTGAGCAGCTTCCTATCAGATTTAGGACAGAGGGAAATCCTGAAAGGGAGAGAGCTTCCTTTTAATGTATACATTAAAAGGATATTTCCTTTTAATGTATAGAAAAGGATACCTTTCTACTCTATGGTCATAGGACTTCATGCTAACACTGTTTGAATCCCCAAAGATTCAAGTGTGAATTCCTTTAGGAAGACTTCACTGAAATGCTCCCCAGATTCTAATCTCCAGGCAAGGTCAAGTACATCTCCTCCAAGTTCCCCTAGGACTGTGGATATGCCACTTCTGCTACTGCTTACCACAGTGTGCCCTAATTATCCATTTATTTGCCTGTTTCTCCTGCTAGTCACTATGCTCCATGAAGGCCTTGAATTTGATTTGCACACTCCTGTGCCCCGTGGACTACCACAATATAGGGCACACAGCAGAAACAATACAACTGGTCAACTAAGTTAATTCTACCATCTATCACAAAAATTAGCACAGAGTCAGCTTTCAACATTCTCTGAAGAGACTACAACTATTTTTCCCCCCTAAGGAAGAGCTCAGACAGTCTTCCAGATATAATTTTGGAAGTATTAAACATTCAGTTCTTGGTACCGAGAACTTCTCTGGGGTTGGCTTAAGGAAAACTAAGCCTCTCTAAAGATGGTGTTAAGCATTGATTAGCTGTATGCACCAGAACCTAAATCTGTAATTCAAGATTTAATCCAACCATGGGGAAAGTATGGGGGAGGAGGAGTAGGGTGGAGAATTATTCTTAAAAAGGAAAAACATCTCCTTATCATTTTCTGGGATTTGTGTGAGGAGATAAGAATCTCCTTTTGTTGCTTCAGTTATTAAAAATGAGATTCATGTCTTCCTCTCTAGATGAATAACTATAATATTAGCCAGCTACTTCTACAATCACGCTATATTGACACCTCCCCAAAATTCGGTGGCTTAACACAATCTACCCTCATTCTCAAGCACACGGGTCTATAGGTTGCCTGAAGTTCAGCTGTTCTAGTGGGGGCTCAGCTGGGAAACTGCTTCTGGAGGCAGGTGAACTTGGCTTCAAACTGTGTGTTGGATCTAGGTCTGATCTTCGTCTTCCTCCTTGGACCAGGACTGTGTGGGTCATGTTCTTTTCACGGCAAGAGCACAGGAAACAAGCTAGATCATGTAAATACATTTAAAATTTCTGTATACATGCTGTCTGTTCATAGTCTACTAGCCAAAGTATACCTCAAGCCATGTCCAAGGGCAGCAGAGCTAGCATGTATACTCCACTCAAAGAGCAGGAGAATGTAAATGCATATTTGCTGATTAATACTCCAATCTAGCACAGCTATCAATGTTCTAAACCCAGGGTTGACAAACTGTAGCCTGAAGGTCAAATATGGCCTGCTGCCTGTTTTTGAATACCGGGCTTTATTGGAACACCACCACACCCATTCTTCCGGTCTATTGATGCTTTCACATGAAGATGGCAAAGGTGAATTGTCCCAACAGAAACCATACTTTACTACGGGCATTTTTCTAGAAAGAGGGATTACTGCTTTCGTTAGCTTCACAAAGGAGACCCAGGTGAGATTTAGAGTTGTTGGATTAGCAAAAATAGGCTAATTGATGAATATTCACTTTTCCAATGCATGCTCTGATTGTATGACTGGCAAGAACCTATGATTCATTCTAATTTCTCCACTGGTTGTTCTAGGGACACCACAGGTTAGGGACAGACCGTATGTTGGCTCCCTGGGGCCACTTCAGCAGTGCTTACAGCATCAACATGCTGCTCTTTGACTTAATTCTCTTTCCTTAATTCCATACTACCAGAATTGGAGAAGAATTCTGTCCCACCTATGTTGGTAGCTTCTTAAATGATGACATCCTTCCCACGTGGAAAAAAACAAAACAAAACAAAAAGAACTCGGATCCTTTCTGTTTCCAAGAGGAATTGCTTACATCTCCAGGATTCTGCCACGGCACCCATCCCCAGGCTGGGTGCAAAGCTGAGCCACAACTTCAACTCCATGGGCTTCAGCACAGAATTGATACTATTAGATGGTAAAGAGGAGCTTCTCTGGGCACTGGCTACCACCGCTAGCGTCATATAGGAGTCCCACAGTTTCTTGTACCTTCCTAGAGGAGGAGAGAGAGCCTCTGGGCACCCACTGGTGGCATCAAACCACATCTTTCAACCGAACTACCCAGCCTCCTTCTCTGCACTACTTCTGGCAACAGCCAGGACACTGTATGTTCTCCTTGAAGAGAGTGTCAGAATAACAGACACTAAAACCATTTCTTTCAGAC